CCCTCGCCCTCACGCCCCCAGAGCCTTCTGGGAATGTAGTCTTGCAGGAGGTGCTGCTGCCCACCGAGTTTGCATCGAGAGCTCCTCCGAAATGCACAGTGATGGGGGGAAACGAGACGAAAGCCCCAGGACCTCCCCCCCTAACCCTGGCGCACACGTTCCTCCCGCTGCAGGCCCACTCTCTCAAGTTCACCGCACACGCGCCCCGGCCCCCCGAGCCGCGCCTCCGCCCGCGGGCTGGCGCCCCTGCTCGGGCTGGCGGCTGCAAAGCGACTTCGCTCCCCTGTAGATGGAACTGGGTAGGTGCAGGGAGGTGGGCGCTGTGAAGCAGAAGGGCAGGGGGAGGGAGTCTGCACGATGCGCTGAAGGACACAGGGGTTGGCGTGGGGGAGGGTCCTCGGCTCCCGCGTTGTGCCTCCCCGGTGGGAGCCCCGCTGCCCGGGTGCGGAGCGGAGGCTTGGATGGCGTTGCCCGGGTTTGAGGGGACCTAGCCGAGCTGCCCGAGATCACCTGTCAGGATGACAGAAGGCTGTCTCGGAGCCAGAGCCAGCCCCGGAACTGGGTCTGCAGCATCTCTGCTGATCGGCTCTCTCCTCCTGAGCACTGCGATCGATACCCTGGACTGCCTCTTCCCAAACCCCGGCTGGACCCTGACTCCATCCATCACTTTGGCTTCTTTTCCTAATGAATATTTTGTCTGCTGGAAGGGCTGCTACCAGAGCCTCGGCAGAGGGAGATTTCTCATCAGATCTGTCATTTTCCTTGCTGAGGCCTGGGAAAGACCTTAATGATCCACCTCTTCCTTTTTCTCAGCAGATAACGTTTCTTCCCACCCTCACACAATCAAGACACAAAAGCCCGCCCTTCCCCATCACATCAGAAGAAAGATACTCATTCTCTTATTCCTCCTCAACCCCTCACATTTCACCCCATAGTCATGCCTTCCGCTAAGGGGGAATCGAATCGGAGGCAAATAAATCCAGGTCTGTGACTCCAAGACTCACAGATTCCTTCTCACTTTCCCCTCAAGAATGATCTCTGAGGGCAGGGAATCCTAACCTGAGAACCAGAGACGACCCCTAGGGTGTCCAGGATCCTGGTGACATTGAACGTAAGATTGTACCCAGGTGTATTTTTCTAGGGAATGTAAACGTAGCGTGTGGCTGTCAGAGGGGAGAGAGGTGCAAGTTGGTGTAGCAAGAACCTTTCTAGAGAAGAGGGCAAGCATATGGCCCCCTTGACTCCAGCAGGAAGCTTGTCTGAGTCACAGATGGTAGGAGAACAAATGAAAACAGCATTGTGGAGGCCTCTCTCTCTCTCTCTCTCTTTCTCTCTCTCTCTCTCTCTCTCTCTCTCTCTCTCTCTGACAAAGGACACACACACGGAGCAACCAGATGAGATAGATCTAAATTTGCTAATGAATCTTGGTTTCTTTGGACTAACTGATGCCACCAAAAGGGATGTCACCCGGAAGTCGGTCTTCAGTTTGCAGATTCTCCAGCTTGGGAGGGGAGAGGGGCAGAATGATGTTTTGGTGGAAATGCAAGTATTTGTCCAAAAACTTAAAGCGAGGAGGGGAAGAGGGAAATAAAAATCCCCAGAAGGGCTCCAGTCTTGGCTCCTTCATGGCAAATGCTTGAAGCACTGTTTATTCCAATGTGTGATAACAAGCACCAGAAAACAACATGCAGCATTCTCCTCCCGCCCACGCCCTGTGATCCCGAGACAGGAGACCTGTGGCCACGGTGGTGGCGGGAACTCATGTTCAGGAAAGGTCCTGGGTGGGCAGCCTGGCGGGGTCAGAGTTCACTAGGGCAAAGGGCCTGCCTGTTAGCCTCCCGCAGCAGCTGGAGAAACCAGACACCTTCTTCTACCTCTGGCCCCACTGGGCAAAGCGGTGCTGCCAGCCCTGGTTGGAGGGGACATGAATCCTATGAGGACAGCCCTGTCCTTGGGCACTCGGCCTAGCCCTGCCTTTCCTCTTAGGGGGAGAGAGAGAGGCCATAACCTAAATCAAGGACTTCTGGCTGATAAGAAGCCGGGCTTTTGAGGGGAAAAGCCTGCTCTGCGCCAGGGGAAGTGCTGAGCTAGGGGTCCTTGGCAGGAGTGCGTACCCACCCTTTCCCCACTGAAGGGCTGGTTGCTAACTTCGGCCCCCAAAGGAGAACACTTTATCCATCACATTGTAAATAAATTATAAACACGTACACAGAATCCAAACAACGTTCCAGTAGAAGCTGCTCACAGACCCCCACGGGGCCAGCTCGGAGAAAACGAGGGTCACCCCTTTGTTCTCTGGGTCTCTGGAGGCAAAACTGTCCCTCCTTGTCCTTGAGTAACCATGGGGACAGCTCAGGACAGAGAGAGGTTCAGACTTAGAAACACTCTCATCCCCGTAACCTCTCTTCTTTCCTCAAATCCCTTTCCCCAAATCAAAACAAATGGCCTAAGTCTTATTCCCAAGGCCTCTGCAGTATTTGAAGGTATAAATCTACCCCCACAAGTGGGGGGGACTCTGCCCCAGAGAAGAAATGATTGGCCCAAAGGCAAAGGCCCTGGGCACCCCAGTAATGCGCATACTCCTGTGAATGGCGTTCAGGGAGGTGAGGAGGTTGGAGGGTTGACTCAGTCCTGAGCAGAGACTGGCACAGGCACATTCGCTTTGGGGATGATAATGGGCTAATTGGCACGGGGATTGGAAAATGGCTGGATTCATCCTTCTTCATCCTTCTCTGGGCAACCCTGTGGCCAGGGCAGACTGGGTAGGAGCCGGGTGGGGGACAGATGGCCCTGACCCTGTCGGCACTGTGTCTTAGGCCTGGGGGTTCAGAGAGGGACTGAAGGCGGTACCAGGAAGAGGAGACACACCAAAGACAAAAATGGAACTGGGTCCCGAAATGAAGAAGCACCAATAGCATCGGCCTGCCCTGGACGGGGTGGGGAGATAGGGCCGGGGAAGGATGAGGCAGGAGGGCAAAGGGAGAGAGCAGGTCCATTTGTAAGGTGAGAAGGGGAAGTATGAAAGAGGGGCCAAGAAGGAGAGGGGAGGGGCAGAGAATGCAGAAGAAATGGGCCCATCCATCCATGTCCTGGGGTCCGGGGCAACTTAGCCTCACGAATGGTCCTTTGGGCCTTTCCAAAGCCCTTGTCTGGCCCCACAGGAATGAAAGGAAGGCCTGGCCAGACTCGGAAAAGGATCTTGAATGCCTCAGACCCAAGGGGGAGGGAGATGGGCAGAGAGGTTGAGGGGAGGGCTGAGATGGAGGTGCTCTTAGACCCCTCAGGTTGTGTCCCAAGTGTGAGACCAAGCCCAAGAGGGAGGTCAGGGAGGAAGGCAAGGAGTTGAGGGCCAATGTGAGTTTAGAGAGTTGGTGGCAAGAGCCCCAGCTTGGAGGGGCGGGAGGACTGAGGGAATAGAAGAAACTGACTCCCCGGCAAGTTTCCTGGCTTTAGTTTCTTGAATTTCAACGCAGTTGCAATGTATCTGCTCCCCACTGAGTCTCAGGCACCAGGACCCTCTGAAGGCTGTTTGCCAGGCTGGTGGGCCTCCCCGGCTCACACATGGCGGGCTCAGCGGGCAGCAGAGGCCAGAGGAGAGTGGGGAGCACACTGAACTAGAGCTCTGTGGTGAGCAGTGCAGGCACGAGGCCTAGATGGCAGCCATGGAAGAGGGGTCTCGAAAGCACTGGTGGGCCCTCCACGCAAGGGACCAGGAAGAAGGCTGCGGCCAATTTTCCCTCCCCCCACTTTTATTGAAGCCGGACAGGTTGATAGAGGTGGCCGCTAGGAACCAGTCTCAGGACTCTGGTCTCCTGCCTCCAACCCTCACCTGTAGCAGAGGCTGTGAGGGTCCCTACCACCTAGGTGAGGTGCCTGGGTCCAAGCAGTAGACAAGACATTCCTGCCATGGGGGGCTCCGGCTGAGGAGGGACAGGAAGCCACCGAGGGCTGCCCAGGTTCCCGACAGCTGCTGCCTGCCCATCCGTGGATGACTTCTCAGAGCCCAGAGCCCAGAGTGGCGGGGGAGGGGAGTTGGAGGAGCAAGAAGAGGGAAGTCCTGGGAGCCGAGGTGGTTGAAGAGGTGCATCCTGTTCGGGAGTAGCCAGGTGGGGGCTGCTTACTGCTTCTCCACGGCTCCCTGCTCAGCTGTGCTCTCGGGGCTGGGGCCTTGGCCCTGGTCCTGGCCCTGCCCGTGCCACGGGGTCTCCTTGAACACGAACCAACAGTTCCCGGCCCACAGGAAGAAGTTGATAAAGCCGAAGAGCTGCAAAGACATCGGGGGAGTTTATGAGAAGAGTGAGGGAGCATCGTGGGAACCTGGAGGGGAGGACCTGTGGAGGGGGCAGATGGGGAGAGGTACAGAGGGCCACAAAAACTAACAGAAAACTGGATACTGAGATAGAGTTCAAGGCCATCACCCACTAAGGGGTTCTCTGGTGAAAGTGTCTAACTCTGTGTACAGATGCCCCCAGCTGTGGCTTGGTCGCTAGGAGACTCTGGCCCCTGGAGTGGAGCGTGCTGTGCAAAGCACAAAAGGAGCAAGGTCCTTGTCGCTCTCGCTCTCACACACGTGGGACCCAGTTCCCGGAGCCTTCTGCGGGGTGGGTGTGGCCAGAGCTGTCCAAGGTGCTCCTTCCCTAGGGCCGAGGCCTGGCAGGGACCCAGCCAGGGCTATATTCCAATACTTATTCACAATATTTAAAAGCCTACCAGCAGGAAGCATTTAGGGGGAAGTGTACTGACGCCTGCAATTAACTTTGAAATGCATTAAAAATAAGACGGGTTGATAGATGGAGAGAGGCGGACAGATAGGTGATAAAGCGAGTCTCGTAAAATGTTCATGGTACAGGCTAGGTAGGTGATGAGGACGTGGGTGTTCATTGTGAAACTCTGTCAGCTCTGCTGTATGTGGGAGAATTTTTACAATAAAATGTCAGGGCGGGGTGAAACCTATCAGCGGGGTTCCAGCAAGGTCTAGAAGGCTCCCTGGTGTGCCAGACACTAACTGGGCCTCCGGGGGGGGTACAGGCCCTTTTCGGGGTAGGGCTGAGGTGGCTGGGATGACAGGGGACAATGGAAAAGCTCGAGGCCTCAGCTATTTACCAGCTGATATGAAAATATGTCAACGTTATAAAAACTGGGATGGCCCAAAATATGCGTGCCAGCTGGACCCACCACTGCTCAAAGCCTTCTCCAGCCTGGAGGTCTGAGTCCTCACTCTGGGTCTGGTCTCTCTCTCTCTCTCTCTCTCTCTTTCTCTCCAGGAGAAATGGGGCATACGAGCCTGGAGGGGGGGGAGGGAGGGGAAATGGGGAGGCAGCAGCAGCAGGAGAAAGGGACAGGAAGCTAAGTGCTCTCCGATTCTCCCCATCCCCGATGTCTGTCTTCCCAGGGTCAGCGAGAAGCCAGCAGCCAGCATTAGGCGCAGGGGGCGCTGACTCCGGGGGTAGCGGACACCAGCTGTGGGGACACCCTCTGTTCTCAGAACTTGCTGCTAGGACAGCCCTGGGCGGCGGGATAGTCCTGCCTCCCCCAGACCCCCTGGTGGCCGCAGGTCTCACCACGGAGAGATTGACCAGCCCCATGGAGGGTGTGGCCCCGGCACTGCACACGGCGTCCTCTCCGTGGCACACGGACATGGCTACGGTCAGGCTCGAGGGCCGCGTGGCCCCCTTGACGTCGGTCAGGCCCTTGCCCCAGGCCGCTGCAGCCACCAGCCAGAAGAAGGTGAAGGAGACGGTCACACAGAAGTCCTGGAGGACAGAGGCACAGGAAATGCAGTCAGGCCCTGGGACCCCCACTCTTGTCCTCTTGCTCTAACGCACTAGGATCCCGGGGTCCCGGGACAGCTCCCCTTCCATCTGCCCAGAGCCTCAGGGAGCCCGGATGGTCTCGGAAACTCTTTCACTGTCACCAACCGAAGGCATCCCGCCACCGGGACACCCAGCCTGTGCCCTCCAACCGAGCTCAGGTAACAGTGTGTCGAGGCATATCTGCTGGTCAGTGTCACCCGAAACCCACATGTCTTCAACTCCCCACTCGCCCTTCCCTGCGTTTCCTTAAAATTTTTAAAACATTTTTCCCTTTTTAAACTTATTTTCCGGTCACGGTTGGCATACAACATTGTATCAGGTTCAGAAGTACAATGAATGACTGGACAGCCTAGCTTTTCCATCCATTAACCTCTGCTCAGCGGCAGCTGGCGGCAGAGGGGGCACCCCCCCCCTGCATGCCTGGGCTGGGGAGACGGTGAAGGGGAGAATATGAATACTAGCTAACACTCAGCCAGGCTAACTATATACCAAGACGTTGTTTTGAAAGTTCTCATCTTTTTAAAAAATATATAAATTTTTATTGATTGAAGGGAAAGGGAGAGAGAGAGAGAAAGATCAATGATGAGAGACAATCATTGATCGGCTGCCTTCCACACACCCCCTACCGGGGTCGGAGCCCCCCACCCGGGAATCATGCGCCCTGACCAGGAATGGAGCTGTGACCTCCCGGTTCATAGGTTGGCACCCGGCCGCCGGGCCAGAGCCCAGTTCCTGATGCTATAGTGCCTCCGGGGAGGAGACCAAGCGATGCTGGGGGGTTGGCGCAGGCAGAGCCCTGGGACTCGGGCCTCCACGGGTCTGTGGGGGGCACCTGAAGGGGCCGACAGCAAACAGCTGGCAGGTGCCAGGGTCCCAGGGCACGAGCTCGGGCCTCAGTCCCCGCCCCAGCCCTCCTGGCCGGGCCCACTCACCGCCAGCGGGAAGCGCTTGTCCTCCGTGTAGAGGCGGTGGAAGCGCAGGTAGAACACGAGGGCGGCCATGGTGTAGAAGAAAGAGAAGATGCCCAGCGTCACGAAGAACTCGGCGGGGGCAGAGAAGTCCCCCAGGAGGTTCATGGTCTTGGAGGTGGACTCCTCGTCACAGAGCGGCATCTCATACTGGACCCGGTTCAACCTGCAGCACGGGGGGGTGGGGGGGGGGCCTCCTGAGCGGGGCCATCCTGCCCCGGGGTCATCTGTGCTCTCCTCACCCTCCACTCTCCCAGCGCCAGGAAGGGGTGTGGAGGGAGGGATGCCACACCCCACACTCAGCCCCGCCGCCCAGATACGGTGACTCCGCTTCCAAGTGTCTCCAGAGCCCTTCAGGTCACGACCCCAGTATATATAGTCCATCTATTTCTGGGAGCCGAGCCCCAGATCAGCTCGCTCTGCCCCAGGGAAGGCACAGGCTGTGGTGGCCACGTTGACGCCCGACTCACCCACTCCCAGGCCTTCCTTAGGCCGCAGTGAGACAGACAAAGCGGAGAACACACATCCCAGTATATGCAAGAGGCCGTTCATCTAACTCGGCTGCTGCTACTGGAAATGTCTGGAAAGGTGGCCCTGTCCCACTGTCCTCTGGACACCTGGGCTCCCCCTGCCTCGAGGAAGGCTGTCCCTCCTCCCTCCTGGGGGCCGGGGCTCCTTGTAAGCACCCACACCTGCTCTTTGGGGTCCTAGTACTAACACGCTGCTCTTTGGGGTCCTAGTACTAACACGCTCCCTTCCCTTCAGGGCGGGGAGGAGGCTCTGAGGGGCAGCGAGCCCCGCCCAGGCTTCTGTGGCTGTCGTTACCTGCCCTCGGTTATCTGTGGCTGTCGTTACCTGCCCTCGGTTATCCGTGGGCTGGGACAGGGTTACAACCCTGAGCTGTCTGACTCCCCTCGTGTTTTTCTCTGGTCATTTGTCTGAAGTTCCTAAAGGGCAGGAAGGGGTGGTCTGGAGTGACACCCCACGATCTGGGAGAGGAAGAGGCCTAGCGGGTCAGGACCGGGCTGTGCGGGGCCACCCCGGCGCCGCTCACCTGAAGGGATAGCCGAACAAGACGATGATGGAGCTCACGTCCTTGGCTTCGTTGTTGCAGCGAACCATGGCTCCCGTCTCCCCGCTGTAGGAGCCGCAGCACCCGAAGGCGAAAATAGCAAAGAGCTGGGGGAGAGGGAGCCCTGTGAGTCAGAGGCCTCAGCCGGCCGAGGTCTGGCCCCCCAAAACCACCCTCTGACCAAGCAGGTATGGGGTGTGTGTGTGTGTGGGGGGGTCCCTTTAATCCAGTCCCTCCTGGGGAGACCCGGGTCTTCCGCTGGTCTTCCAGCCTCCGGTGCTGTGTTCACCGCACAGGGTGCTGGACCCAACAGCCAAATGCATAGGCGCCTTCGAGTGGCGTCTGGGAGGAAAGAGAGAAGAAATGGATGGTTCCCCATCGCCCCATTGGATGTGACATCGGGGGACCGACCACCTTCTTAAGGTGATGACGAGCACAGAGCGTTAGGCTTTCGGAAACTTCTGGCTCAAAGCGGGCCTTGAATTTCCTCCCCAAGGGAGAGGCGCCTGGAAATAGAGTCCCCGGCTCTAACCACGATGGGCCCACTCGGAGTTCTTCCCATTTCTCCTCTGAAGCCATCACTGAGGCCTTACCTTGTGGCTAACGTCCTGCCTCAGTGGAGGCAGAGCCGAAGGGGACAATCCTGCCTTGGCCTTCAGAGGGGCCAGGAGGGCAGGGCGGAGCAGCAGAGCTGGCTGGGTGGTGCTGAGGGTCCTGGCTCCAGCCCAGAGAAAAGCAGCTTCCACTCGCCCTCCCAGCCTCCTGCCTCCCTGGTGGTGGTGTCTCCTGTTGTAACTAGTTGATGCTGCCATTGCTCAGGGTTAAGAACTGGAGGTGTTTCAGGCAACTTGAATTGTTTCCTTCTCACTTTACTGAACCTCCGAGTCTTAAGGGAAATGAAATGACCTCATCCCATGATTTTTTTTCTTTTCTTTTAAATTTCTTGATTTGAGAGAGAGAGAGAGAAACACCTATTTCTTGTGCCACTTACTTATCCACTCATCGGTTGCTTCTTGTATGGGCCCTGACCGGAAATTGAACACACAACCTTGGCATACTGGGATGACACTCTAACCAACTGAGCTACCCGGCCAAGGCCGTGGTTTTAGAATCTCCTTCTGGAGAAACAAACTTCGATTAGAAGAGGTGAGAAATTGGAACCTCATCCTCCCACATCATCAGCTCAGCCCCATTTCCTTGGCGTCTTTGTGACGTCATCATTCTAATTACAAGGGGAGCTCATTCTGTTAATTGTCCGTTTTCTGTAAGTTTCTGTGACTCGTGTCTTGGACATTAAGCACTTAGAAGACAGCTGATCTGCACCCTCGTCCTGCATCCAGAGTTGGAAATAGAGTTACGTGCGCATGGTTTGGCTAATGCCCTGATGGCAGGCGGCGAAGAGGCCTGGACCGGGAGTCTAGAACTCTGGCCCCGTCACAAATGAGCTGGGTGACCTAGCTTTGCTCTGAGTCTCAGTGTCCTCACCGGTAAAGTGAGGGTTTGGAGGAGGTCATCCGGAGGCCTTTCCAACTCTGCAGTCCTCTCACTCGCTGAGGGGAGGGCTGCCTGCTGTTGGCTGGCCTTGCCAGCAGCTGCGCCCGGCCCCAGGGCGGTGTCTCGTGCCAGGGCCCCGCCCTGCACCGCCTGGCCTGGCACAGCCTCTCCATGATGGAGCCATCGATCCCCCTTTTAAATGTCATGATGGGCACCTCTCTCTTTCTAGGAGGTTTAGTTCAGACAAATAAGACTTGTCTCCACTTAAAAAAAAACCAACAGGGGAGGAGGCAGTACACCTCTCTCTCCAATGCCTGAACGCCTCCTCCGCCGAATGAAACTTCCGAGGCTGCTACAGAGCCCGGCGCTCATCTTCCTGCCAGAGTCGCCCACGCCTCTACGTCATCCCCTTCACATCCTCCCAGTCGCCGTGGTGTCCCAGCGGAACTCGTCTCGGAGGCACTGTCTAACCTCTGTCAGCTCTGTGGCTCTCTGATTCCTCTGAGCCGTTTCTTTATTCCTCTGGGCTTCTGATGTCCAACTGGACACATTAGGGCGTCGTGTTCTAGAAAGCGCAGCACAGATGGATGTATTTTTACCCATTGGCTGTTCCGTCAGCCAAGGGCCCCATATGGGTTCCCTGAGAATGGAGGTACAGTCCTTCTAACTTGGGGCAATGGAATGGGCAGTTATGAAACGGTCTCTTCACCAGCATTCTCTTGGCAGGCCCTCCTGGCATCTTCAGAAAGGTGACGTTTATTGAGCATCTACTATGTACCAGGAATTGCTCTTGGCACTAATGCTTAGCAGTGAACAGACAGTAGCTGCTAGCCACGTATGCCTGTTTAAATGAAAATTAATTAAAATTAAATAAAACTTAAAACAGTTGCTCAGTCACACGAGCCACATCTCAAGTGCTCAGGAGCCACGTGTGACCAGCAGGTGCCATACTGGACGGCACGTTATCCAACTCTTCCATTGTCACCAGAAGGTCTGCTATGTCGAGGTGACAACCTTGAGGTTCTGACAGTCCTGAACCCTGACTTATGATTCTTTGCTGGGAAAAATACACCCATAATAACTTTCATCTTAACTGTATTCTCTTCTATGCCGATTCTCTGACAGTTGGGAATCTAAACACCTTCTCTAACCCTTTATTAACCAGAATATATGATTAAGTCTGAACGTCGCAGTCAGCTGGTGCCAGGTGACAGACGGTTTGCTACAGAAGTGGAGGAAGGGAGAACTCGCAGGAGAATCGCACAGGTTCACAGAGCAGCTGAGCAAAAAGGATCTCAGAGATTATCGAGCGCCACGGTCTCATTTCACAGAGGTGGAAACTGAAGTCCCGGAAGATTAAGTGACTTGCCCAAGGTCACATTTAGCCGCTGCGAAAGCCAGGCTTAGAACTTACATATCCTGGTTCCCTGTCCAGTGCTCTTGCTACTGCGCTCATTCATTTATCATGGAGCATCTACTTTGTGCCAGGTGCCGGACACATAAAGATAAATAAGACTCTGCCTGCTCCCAGACTTTACACCAGAAGGGGGAGTGTCACGCTCAAACACACAGACAAAACCCCTGCATCGCAGGGTGGCTGAGGCTGAAGAAAGAGGTCTCTGCTACGTGCAGGGAGGATGGCATGGAGCAGAGAGAGACGCCCCCTCCTCCTTTCTGCACCTCCGTAGCTTTCTTCCCTAACTGTGCCAGGTGACCGAGCCACAGGGATGGCAGGAAAAAACTGAAACCACCCCTGTCACCAAGCACAAGGCTCTGAGTTGAGCCGACTGGTCATAAAGACCAGGAACCAAGGAGAGATGGAGTCCCCGAGGGGTGGGGGGTGGTGCCAACCATACATACTGGTACACTGCCCGCCCCCTCCCCCTCCTCCTGCCGCCGCCGCTGCCTCTCCTTTGGAGCGATGGCGGAGGAAGCTTGCCAGTTTAAAGATGAAGCTCCACTTTGGTGCTCACGTGCTTGGGGATACTCCCCGGCCAGTCCTGCGAACACGGACATGCCCGGTCAGTGTTAGTGTGCTCACGGGGAAGACAAGTTCTCCCCCAAGTCCTACTTGCACCATCATCTCCTTGGAGTCACGGAGACTGATGAGTTGCTTTCACATTCCCCACATTTACTGAAGTCAGAGACCCCAGAGCCAAGTAAGGGGCTTTGGCACCTTAAAGGTGAATTACAGACCCGGGCACACCCAGTTGACAATAATGTGACTTCTTACGGCAACAGTGACTCAGTAATGCAGGAAATCCTTTTGTACCTTACCCTCAAAGAGAGGATTCGGCAGCGACATTTAAATAATCTCACCAAAGGACAAGTCTAGCTGACAGTCTGCTTAAGGGGGGAAGTTAGGGGACAAGGGAGGTCGGGATAGGAGGGAAGGGAGCACCCCTTAGACTGCCAGGCTCACGGGATCTTCCTGAATGCTCGATGCGTTACAGATACCACCCCCTGCAGCCCTCCCCTCAGCCCACAGGAGACCTCGCCCGCCTTGACAGACAGGAAACCGAGGCCCGTAAGGTTTCATCACTTACCCTAGAAAGCCGAAGAGGATGGATTTAAACCAAAGCCCATACAACCTCAAAGTCTGCTTTATTTTTGCCCTTTTCTTGAACAAAAAAACAAGTTCTCCAACAATTGGTCTATGCCCATATTATTTCACTAGTTTAGTATAGACTTAGCGAGGCCAGAATTGGAATTGAGGTGAGATTAATTTTTGAATTTTCAAGACACACTAAGCCAAGTTCCTCACTAATAAAAAAAAAAAGTATCACTTTCTTCTCACCAGGATTACAGTAAAACCTTTGCTTTTGGTAATAATGACAACAAATGTTTTCAATTATCAAGGTTTGTGGCGGTTTTTTCTTTCCTTTTCTAGTCGGGAGCATTTGATCCCTCCAAGCAGGAAATGAGTGAAAAATCCCAAATGACATTTTCACTGTCATTTCTGGTGCTGGCTCCTACGTGCTTTCACCTTAGCTCATCTGCAGAGGCTCAAGGCAATGAGACGCGTGCTCTGAGGACGGCAGTAAGAGCGAGTCAAGTCTCCTTAAGACGTTACTGGTCCAATGAAGGCCGAGTTCAAAGTCAGCCTCGGGCCCCTGGAGTTAGCATGACGGCAGAAAGGTGTATCCCCCTCTCTAAGAGATTGGGGGGCATCAAAGGGTCATCAAGGTGGGTCCGCTCTTAGGGATCAGTGTTGAACCTGGGAGGTGACTGGGCCATCCATCCTCCCAGGCATGGCTTTGTGCAGCCTTTATAGGAATGTTGCGGGCAAGGGGTGGGGAAAGGTGGAGACAAAGAGAGAGGGTTGAAGAAGGGCGCTCTGCAGAAACCCTCCTTGGAAGATGATTCCATGGTCTAGTGACCTCATCATGCCCCCCGTCCCTTGACAGTCTTTCTCAAATCTCCTTAGACCCATTTGTCTAGTTTAATGATAAAGTTGTGCTCTTACATTTCAGGCTGTGCTCCTCCGGGTCGCTCAGAACGGCCCCCTAGCTCTGGACGGCAGTCACTTAGAGCCCTAATATCATGCTTATATGGCCCCCTCCCGTATGCAAGTAGGGGGGTCAGAACAGGAAGGGAGGAGGTGAAAGAGCTCAGTCAGCAGTCTGTCCAACTGCTCCTGAGGCAGCAGGAGAGTGGAAAGTCCCCACCGGGGCCCGGAGTTTGCACTTGGAAGCTCCCCAGGCTGGCCCGGAGCCCCAGTCAGGGTCTCAGATATCCACAGATAACCCCAAATGCACCAGTGCCCCTGAATTCCAGATTTGATGATTCTCGTCCAAACGAGGACTTAGAAATCGGTGACACAGTGCTAACTCCTGTCTCCAGTGAGTTAAAAGCCCTTTAGAACTCAATCCTCCTCCGTATTAACGGTAACTTACTCCCTCGCTGACTTCTGTGCTGAAAGCACATCAATACGTTATTCACACACCATTTGGTGTGTGGATAGTCCAACTGAAATCCCTTCTGTGACAGTACACTAAATGCTCCCAACAAGTCTTCTTGATTCGAGCGAGTGACTGCACCTGTCCACATTCCTTACTTATACCCAGCAGGCCTTGGGCACCGGGAAGGACAGAGAGCACAACAGGGTCTCAAAGGACCAATGAAGCAAAGAGATTGTATTTGCCCTGGACCATTACAGGGGAAACTGAGGCCCTGGGCAGGTGAATTCTTCAAGGTCACAGGTAAGTCTAATGAAGGGCAATATTCCAGCACGCCAACCCATCGAGAGCAGAAGGGGACTCTAGGGTTGTTGTGATCAACATTGGACTAATGTTGGAAACCGAAGTCCAAAGAAGTGACTTGCCCAAGGTCACAAGGCTGAAAAGGCAGGTCCGGATCTGGAAACCAGGGCCCCAGCTTCCCAGCATAATGGTCTATATTATTCTCCAGGCCACATTTTAGCCACACCGAGGCTTTTATTCTATCTTATTTTTTCTTTTATTTAATCCTGGAGTCATAAACTCCATTCATTCATTCATTCATTCATCCACTCCCTCACTCAGTTACAGGAACCCAGATTACTCCAGTGATCTCAACGGGCACCCGCCAGCCGGGACCCTGTGCCCTCAGTGCACCTGCAGGCCCAGCCAGGTCCTGGTGGGTTTGGGTGCAGATGGTTTCCATCCTCTGGCTCCCTCCCTCCTCTGCCCTCCGTGGCGTCCCTCTTCTCATCCCCCTTGGCCTCCTCCCCCTCCCGCCATGGAGGAGTGGTATGTGCAGGATCAGAGTTCTGGAAAGGTTACACTCGGGTCCTCTTGCCCCGGTGAAATGTGAGCGCCCCGGGCACAGGCTCCTTGCACATAGAAGGACCGAATCCCAGCCTCCGCCTGCCTCGCTTCTCACCCTCCTGCCACCGAGTGCGGGAGAAGCCACCCCAGCCCGCCCCTCCCCCGCCCACCTGTCGCTGCCCCCACCCCTCCGCGGGCTGCTGGCCGCCGGACCTCCCTGCAGCCCCCTCCGCCCCCACTCCGGCCACATTGCTTCGGGTCAGCGTCACAGCCCAGGCTCCCGAAATAGCCCGCGGCTTGGGCAGCCACTCACCCACTGGAGAACTTTGATGAAGCCCAGCGGCTCCTCCAGCCGCCGCCAGTGCAGCCCCGCGAACAGCTGGTCCACCTGCGAAGACAGGGAGGTCCAGGGCTCAGGGCAGGGGGGACCCCGGGAAAGCGCTGGTCCCCCTTCTCCTACCCACGCCCAGGAGAGGGGGCAGAATAAGGGTCCCCACACACCGGGGGAGGGGGGCGGTGAGCGCCCCGGGGGCACGCGGAGTACCTGCTGGCGCGGCGACTTGTCCGCCGGGCGACTCGCCGCGGTCTCCGTCGAGGACATGCTGGCGCAGCGGGGCCCGGGCGCTGCGCGGGGGCTCGGCTCCCTCGCCCGGAGGCTGCGGGGTCCGGGGTCGGGCAGGGGGCTGCGGACCGGCGGGGGACGCGAGCGTTGGCGCGCGCGAGCAGCCCGCTTGTGCCCGGGATCCAGGCTGGCGGGGTGGGTCGCTGGCGCTCGCGGAGGTGGCGGCCGCTGCGCTGCCCCTCCGGCCGCAGAAAGCCCCCGAGGCCGATTCAAACTTCTGTCAAACTCGCCAGCGCACTTGGCCGCCCAGTCACGTGGCGCGCTAGGGAACCCTCCTCCCGCCCCCTGCGCCCCTTTTGCAGCCCGCAGGGCGCCTTAAAGGGACCTGTGGCTTCTACGGGCAGTTTGGCCGAAAGGGGCTCAAGGTCTTTACCAGAAGCTCAGCGCCAGACGCGAGGGAGACACCGCGGCCCCTCCGACCCACCACCCAAGTCGGAAACTAGTTGGGAGCCCTGGGGCGCACGGGTTCCTAGCTCATCTTTCTCTGTTTCCCTAGATTTGGAGCCATTTTTTTTTCTTTTTCTACATCACCATACCCAGAACCTAAAGGATTTTCATAAGGCATTATCAAAGCTGCAATCTAAACCTAAGGTTCTGAGCCTTACGCGTAACAAATCGCTCGCTTCCAAAATCTTGGAGAGCCAGTGCAGACGGAAAGGGCAAAAGGATACAAATTGCTCATTTTTCATTGTCTAGTTAGACGTTGCTTTAGTTTTTTAAAACAACAAAATGCACTTGTATGCCATGATTTAAAAGTTATTAATCTTTTAAAAGTAGAAACTCAATCTCCTTTAAAATAGCCAGCACGATTTACATGAGTGAAAATCAAGTCTGAGGACTAGGGGGCTCAGAGAATGCAATTGGTGCTGAAAAGTTGGCGTTGTTGCATTATGACCGAACTTAAGTCGGTCCCAAACTTTCAGAAAGTGTTCGGCGGAAGCCGAAGAATTTTACACACTCAGGTTACCAGATTGTAAATGTAAGTAGTGAAAGGTTAATTGATCTGTCCACTCGAGGCTGCTGAGTGAGCCAGTGGGTGGTGCCAGCCCCCATGATCCACCTCATCACAGTCATTCTTGAGGTTCCCTCTGGTACCACAGAATGACTGCTTTTTGAACAAACATTTAGCTACTCATCAATTCAGTCCCCAATGAGGAAGTGGTGCCTTCTCAAGGCTGGGGTAGGAGGGAGTGGCTGGAATTAGGTTGCCTGGATTTGAAGGAAACTTCCCCAGATTGACAGGCACATCTAGGCCACATAAGGAACAACTGAGTCCCCCATTCAGTTTTTTTAAAAAATATATTTTATTGATTTTTTACAGAGAGAAAGAGAGAGAGAGAGAGAGAATCAGTGATGAGAGAGAATCATAGATTGGCTGCCTCCTGGGGGCTCCCCACAGGGGATTGAGCTTGCAACCCTGGCATGTGCCCTTGATCAGGAATCAAACCATGATCTCCTGGTTCATAGGTTGACACTCAACCACCAGCCAGGCCCAATCCAGTTTATAATAAATTGTTCCCCAGTTTTAGGTTCCTTTTCCATGGAAGAGGGATAATCATTTCTGTCCTACTTACTTGTATAAGGTCATCATGAGGATTAAGCGGTGTGATGTGCGTAAATGCCCACACTACACAATTATGAAATGGTACTTACTCCCAGTGTCTACGACAATATGCATATAGAATATAACACAAGCAGAAAAGAATCAGAATAGACAGCAAAAATCCACACACCCACCAACCAGCCTTGTTAACACTTTGCCTTGTCTCAAATCCATTCTTCCTAAATGAAACAAAAATTGCATATAAAATTAAAGCCCTTCATATCATTCTCTCCCTCTCTCCTTCCTCCCCAGAAGTAATCACTGTCCTCTCTTGGATTTGTTTTTATTAGCCACATGCATATTTTGATACTTTTACTATATGTAAAGTATTAAAAGTATTTTACTATAGTTACTATATGTAACTATATCTAGAAACAACACATAGAAATTCACCATTTTCCTAATTGTTTTGAACTTTGTCTAAATTTTATGCTTTAGGTAACCCTCTTTAATTTGCAAGAATCAAGGCTAGTTAAACCTCCCAATATCCTTAATAAAAATCTTTGCTTATTTAAAAACACTCTTACAAAAGGTAAAATAAAAATCATATACAAGGCGAGGCAGCCAAATCTGAAAAGTCTTTTTATGTAAATAACAAATTATAGGTGCTAGAGATAAATGTGGATAGTTGAATTTGGGGGACACAACATTTAGGAAGAGTAAAGGGACCTAGGTTAGATTGATTTAATTTATAAAATTCTCCATAAAAGTATATTTCCTGCCAACAATGACTTTCGCTAACAAATCTGAGTATTTCCAATATTTATTGGGCTATTAATTTTACCAAACTATTTCACTTACCAAACTATTTCACTTACTTCCAGTGGAATTGCAAGGCTTCTAATCTATATTGTAACATAGTTTAGAACTCTGTGACTCATCTCTAAAATTACTATGGCAGCTTTTAATTAGGGGATAATTTTACTTTTTTTTTTTTTTTTGCCAAAAAAGTACCAAAACATGTGAGAGCTCTCATTCTGTGGGTGAATACAGAACTTTTATTACTGTCCAAACAATCTGCATTTTTTTCAAGAGGAAACAGTCCTTCTTACCTCTCAGTATTTCACCTAAAGAGATTGTAACCAAGAAAATTCTATTTTACAAAGACAAAAAACAAAACCACAAAGGAAATAAAAGAAAAAGAGAAATACTGGTTTTAAAGTAAATTTCAAGAAAGTCTCAATTAGAAATACTGAATTTTCTAATGACACATTTATTTTTTTAAAATATATTTTATTGATTTTTTACAGAGAAGAAGGGAGAGGGATAGAGAGTCAGAAACATCGATGAGAGAGAAACATCGATGAGCCGCCTCCTGCACATACCCTTCTGGGGATGTGCCGCAACCAAGGTACATGCCCTTGACCAGAATCGAACCTGGGACCCTTCAGTCCTCAGGCCGACGCTCTATCCACTTAGCCAAACCGGTCAGGGCTAATGACACATCTATTAATCTCTATGTGGCTAGTATGTTTATAGCAATCAATAAATACTTGTTTATTTACTCAACAAATATTCCTAAAACATCTATATACCAGCTGTTAGGATGAATAAGACATAGCACTGGTCCTCACAGAACTCACATGTTAATCAATTTACTTTAAAAAATTTATTTCTTTTTATTGTAGTAAAATGCACATAACATAAAATTTACCATGTTAATCATTTTTAGGTGTACAGTTCAGTAGCATTAAGTACATTAACACTGTTGTGCAACCACCACCACACTCCATCTCCAGAACTTTGTCATCATCCCCATACTGAGATTGTGTACCCATTAATTCCCCCACCCCTTCTTCCCTTGCCCCAGGTAACCACCATTCTACTTTCTGTCTCTGTAAATCTGACTAGTTTAGGTAATTCATATAAGTACAACCATATAATAGTTGTCTGGCTTATTTGACTTAGCATAATGTCTTCAAGCTTCGTCCAAGTTGTAGCATGTATCAGAACTTCATTCCTTTTTAAGGCTGAGCAAGCACAGTGAACTGAACTACATAACATTTTCCCTTGTATGTACATACCATATTTTTCTTTATCCTTAATTACTTTACTTTTTTAAACAGCTCGTCTTTCATTTAATTTCTTTCAAAGAGATACCATGAGGTTTTCAAGATTATTTAAAAAATATATTTTATTGATTTCAGAGAGGAAGGGAGAGGGGGAAAGAGATAGAAACATTAATGATGAGAGAGAATCATTGATATGCTGCCTCCTGCAGGCCCTCTACTGAGGATTGAGCAGAAACCCAGGCAGGTTCCCTGACTGGGAATCCAACTGTGACCTCCTGGCTCATGGGTCAACGCTCAATCACTGAGCCATGCCAGCAGGGCCTTACTGGTTTCTCCATTTGGGTAGTGTCTCCAGTCCACCCTGGCTACTCTGCCACAATTTATTTTGCTCCAGGACTTATGTGTTTAGCTCTCCAGGATGTTTGTATTCCTTTCTCAGTTTCTGAATCTAGCTGACTCTAATATTTTACTACATTCCTTTCCTTTCTATCTTCTATGGCTCCTATATTATTTCTTTTTAAGAAGGACACCTGGTCCAACTCTATTTTTTTAAAAAAAATGATATCTATTCTCCTTTCTAAAAATGTTATCCTATTTACTAAAAGGGTAATATGCAAATTGACCCTAACGGCCAGGAACGACGGGTTGCTATGACGCACAATGACCACCAGGGGGCAGACGCTCAATGTAGGAGCTGCCTGCTGCTGGTTAGTGCGCTCCCACAGGGGGAGCTCCGTTCAGCCACAAGCCGGTCTCATGGCTGCTAGTGCAGTGCTGGTGGCGGGAGCCTCTCCCACCTCCTCGGCAGCGCTAAGGCCATCCGACTGACAGCTTAGGCCCGTTTCCCCCAGAGAGCGGGCCTAAGCCGGCAGGTGGACATCCCCCAAGGGGTCCTGGACTGCAAGAGGGAGCAGGCCAGGTTGAGGAACCTCCAAGTGCATGAATTTTTGTGCACCAGGCCTCTAGTTTATTTATATTTTTAATCTTCATGGGAGAATATTTTCCCCATTGATTTCTAGAAAGAATGGAAGGGAGGGAGAAGAGAGAGAGGAGTGACATCAATTGGTTGCCTCCCTACCAGGGATGGGAAATCTGCAACAGAGGTATGTACCCTTTACCAGGAATCTAACCTGTGACCCTTTGGTCCGTGGGCGATGCTCTAATCACTGAGTCAAAACGGCCAGGGCTGGTCCAACTCTTAATGAAGCAATTATTTGTTGAACTGAATATGGACAAGAAACTAAACTAGGTGCTGAATTTTTATGCCATAAAGTTCCACTTTTTTGGGAGAAAACAAGATATCTCTTCTTACCCACAATCAACTACCTGTAGCTCCCTTTTATTTATAATATATGGACACAAACATTTACCCAGAAAGGATTCCACATTCATTTAATTTTGTGAGACATTTATGATACATTTACTACCATATCCGATATTATATAGAGCACCTTGCATCTTGGGGTGTTCAGGAAATACTG